ACGGGTCTCGGAGGTGCTCGTACTGAGGGTACTGGAGCTGCCGGGCCCGGGGGTGCCTCTGGAGCTGGAGCTGCTGCGGGTGCTGGCGCTGAGGCTACGACTGTCAGTCCTACTGCGGGTACTTCTGCAGCTGCTGGTGGTGCTGGAGTTGGAGCTGCTACTGGTGCTGGTGCTGCCTCTGGAGGTGTTGGTGCTGTCCCTGCAGTCTCTGGCGGTGCTGCGTGGCCTCGGCCGTACTTCGTTCCGCTCCTTCAGCAGGTTCTTGGTCTCCCGCCTTCCACTGGTCCTTCTCCTCCCGTAGAGTGTCCGCAGCCTGTCCCGTCACAGTCACAGTTACAGCCCGCCTCTCCCCTGCCTTCTCCTTCTCCCTACGCTGGTCCTACTGGAGGTCTTGCTGAGCGTCGTGAGCCTGCGTCCCGCCCTGCGTCGACAGTCCGAGCTGCTCGCTCTAGTGGTCGCGGTTCGCGTCAGCGTCCTCCTCCTGTCCCTGGCACACACCAGATGTCTTTGCGTCCGTCCACTGCTCCTCTGCGTGCCCCTTTGCCTTCTCCTCCTCAGTCTTCTCTTCCTACACTTGCCGACCCGGAGTCGGACTCTCGCCGTGCTGCCAGTCCTACTGTCACGCGTCTTCTTGCTTCTCTTGTCACCGACCCTTCCTTTGAGTCCGCTGCTACGTCTGCCCTAGTTGCTGAGCTGGTCGACTTTGCTGCTGCGTGTCGTCTGGACTACGCTGCCAGTCTTGTTGCTGAGTCTGCTGAGTCTGCGTCTGCTGCGTCTGCGTCTGCCTGTCCTCCGTCCGTCGGGGGTGACTGTGCTCTTGGCACGGACGTCCTTGAGGACAGGCAGGAGGAGTTCCAGTGCTTTGCCGCCGCTTTGCCCCATCTAATGTCCATGCTTGTTGCCCCTGAGGGAGACCCGGATGCTCTAGACATCCCGACCCCACGCTCTTACGCAGAGGCGATGGCCGGTCCCTACTCCTCTCAGTGGCAGTCCGCCATGGACGCAGAGATGGCTTCCTGGAAGTCCACAGGCACCTACGTTGACGCTGTTCCCCCTCCTGGGGCGAACATTGTCGGTGGCATGTGGATCTTCAGGGTGAAGCGGCCGCCGGGTTCTCCGCCTGTCTTCAAGGCGCGCTACGTGGCTCGTGGCTTCAGTCAGCGACAGGGAGTTGACTTCTTTCAGACCTTCTCCCCGACCCCGAAGATGACCACTCTTCGGGTTCTACTGCACGTCGCTGCTCAGCGTGACTACGAGCTACACTCTCTTGACTTCAGCACTGCTTTCCTGCAGGGCCGCCTGCACGAGGAGATGTGGCTGCGCCGCCCTCCTGGCTTCACTGGGTCGTTCCCTCCTGGTACCCAGTGGAGCCTCCGGCGGCCAGTCTACGATCTCCGCCAGGCGCCGCGTGAGTGGCACGACACACTGAGGACTACACTTGCGGCTCTTGGGTTTGCTCCTTCTACTGCTGACCCGTCGCTGTTTCTACGCACCGACACCTCGCTGCCGCCGTTCTACATCCTCGTGTACGTCGACGACTTGGTCTTTGCCACTGCGGACACTGCTGCACTCGCCCACGTGAAGTGCGAGCTGCAGAAGAGACACACGTGCACAGACCTGGGTGAACTGACAAGCTATCTTGGCTTGCGGATCACCCGGGACAGAGCACGCCGCACCATTACCCTGACTCAGTCACACATGGTGCAGCAGGTCCTTCAGCGCTTCGGCTTCACGTACTCCTCGCCTCAGTCCACTCCTCTGCCTACGGGACACTCGCTCTCAGCTCTGCCTTCGGATGAGTCCGTAGAGTCGAGTGGTCCGTATCCAGAGCTTGTGGGCTGCCTCATGTACCTGATGACCTGCACTCGACCTGACCTCGCATACCCTCTCAGCATCTTAGCACGCTATGTCGCTCCCGGCCGTCACCGGAAGGAGCACATGGATGCAGCTAAGAGGGTGTTGCGCTACTTGTGCAGTACGTCGGGCATGGGGCTAGTGCTTGGAGGGCGTGAGCGGCCTGTGCTCACTGGGCACTCAGACGCTTCTTGGGCTGACGACCAGGCTACTCAGAGGTCGTCTCAGGGTTACACATTCAGTCTTGGCTCTGGCTCTGTCTCTTGGCGCTCTACTCGCTCTTCTTCGGTTCTCAGCTCCAGCTGTGAGGCTGAGATCTACGCCACGGCCATGGCTGCCCAGGAGCTTCGCTGGCTCACCTACCTGCTGACTGACCTTGGAGAGCGGCCTCGTTCTCCTCCAGTGCTGTACGTCGACAACAAGGCAACCATTGCCTTGTGTGAGGAGCACAGACTGGAGCACAGGACGAAGCACATTGCTCTGCGCTACGTCCTTGCTCGAGAGCTGCAGCAACGTGGTCAGCTTCGCCTTCGTTTCGTGGCCACTGAGGCCAACACTGATGATGTGTTCACCAAGGCACTTCCGCCTCGTGACCATCAGCGCTTTTGCACTCTGCTAGGCCTTGTGCCCACTGGGCCTCACTTGCTTACCTCTTGACCTTGCTTGTACTGCTGCATATATATATATCCTTGCTCTTGCTTGTTTAACACTGTTATATATATATGCTCTGCTGCATGTGAACTGGCCTTGTGGCCTTGACCTTGTGCTCGGAATTTGTGTGGTATCCTTGAGATCCACCCTGAGCTTGCTTTGCTTTGCTTTGCTTTGCTTGACTGGTCTTGTGACCCCTTGCTCTCCCCCACTTTGCCTATGGGGGTGTGTCAGATGATTATATTACTGATACATATATTTAGGCTATAGTGGGGTAGCCCATAGGGGGTACAACCCAATTAGGGTTGGTACTTGTACTTGTTTCATTTCATAGTGCACTCATTCCTCGCCTCTATCTCAACAAATGCAACCATTCCTGCTTGCTATCTTGACAGTATTTGGGGATGTTTTGGGTGTCTTATAAGTCTTATAAATGGAAACTTTTTTTAACTAAGAAATATTTTCACGCATCTTGAAAAGAGTTTCTCATTCTTAGTGTGGATTTTGCGAAGGTGCCACTTCGGCAACCATTGTTCGGGACGCCACGTCATCCCGAATACTTGTAGAGGCAAATTTGGTAGTACGTGAGTTAGCACGTGGCAGAATTCACGTGTCGCAAGGGAAAAAATGTATGCGGTATTTCAATTTTCACTATAATACATTGCAGTTTCGATTGCAAGACACATATGTCTTATCTGGTACACACAAATAGTTGCCGTATAAAAAGGCTAGCCTGTTTATAAGAAACACCCGTATAATAGACAACCCCTGTCTACTATTCAACATTGTCTTATATCCGGGCGATGACGGTAACTCCGTCATACAAGAATCACTTGCATACAATTTCGCGCTGTCATCCACACGTCAATCACGCGGCATCATCGGGAGACGTCGAACATCCATGCCATCAACAGCTAACATCAACCACCAGTTTCAACCACACTCTTCTGCAGCACCAACAACCAGGGACATCTACATCAATGGAACGAGCAACCGTCATACACAACATTCCGAAACCCAACGGCATGGCGATCGCATCGCAACCAACCAACGCCACATCTCTCAGCAATTCGTCGAGGCCATCAACCACAACAAGACTCACACGTCTTCACCGCTCCTAACTACACATGTCTCAGTAAACCCAACTGTAATGAAGCACGTTGCCTTAGCAAGAACAGAAAGCAAGCTTTCTCAATTTATAAATTGTAAAAATAGTGTTCAGTGTACTGCATCACTCTCACTCGCGTGAGTTTCGTGCTGCCCACCATTTCAATTCCAAGAGAAGCGCAGTGTGCCCCACCAGTGGCGGGGCTGGAGCACAGCTCTGTCACAGAGTCGTTCGGCTCTTCCATATCCTCGGAAACAATTGTCACATAGTATCGTGGCGAAGGCTGTTTTACCCGCGTTTAGAATTAACTTTTGCCCCACACACATTCTCGGAAAAAAAAACATCTTTTTTTTAATCGGGTTTTAAGCTTTACCCATTTCATTCACAATTGTTCATTCCACTCCCAACACACCTGAGCAGATTTATTTGCCAGGCCCACTACACAGGAAACATATAATACATAATAAACACAGGCTTTGCTATCAAAACCCACCAACCAATGCCAGTAACCCTGTGTGGCATCGCGGGTTTCCATGCTTGAAGCAAATCCGTTTATTTCTAGAGGAGCCACCCACCACTATGACTCTAGTTTATTCCCAGAGGAGGAGCTGCAAGGACTCAGTGGACACAAAAACCAGGCAGGCAGTTTCGCACCAAAGTACTGGTCTGTATGAGGACCGAATGGGTACCGTACCGTATCTATCCGAGGATAGTACATGCAACAAAGTATTCCTGAAATCAACCATGCATTAAAATGGAGCCGTGTGAAGTGAGCAGGAGGCGACATGAGGATGAGGCACAAAGAATCTCCTTTGATTTGTCATTGCCAGGGCTCAGAGAGAGAGAGAGAGAGAGAGAGAGAGAGAGAGAGAGAGAGAGAGAGAGAGAGAGAGAGAGAGAGAGAGAGAGAGAGAGAGAATGAGAGGGCCAGGCGTTGGCAGGGCATTTGTGAAGAGAGGAGTGTGTTTGTGAGCTCATCTTAGTGTGTAGGTTAGCGGGAGTAAGAAGAGACTGCGCCCACTACGAGAGAGGCCAGTTGCGATGCAGTAAGTGGCCGTGTCACATTGTTGACAATAAACGCACCGAGATTCGAGAGTGAGAGCCGAGAAGGAGAGTCGGGAGAGGGAGTCGTGAGCTGCATCAGTGAGAAACTCTGGCCAGAACCGAATCTCTCCACTCCACTCTTCTGAGAAACACCAACATGAGGCACGAGGAGGAAAGCCCTAGGTAGGTAGCGCCATAGAGAAGCTTGTGATATGTAGGGTGGCAGGCAGGCATCGGAAATGCCTCACCGTTTTGTGATAGACCGTCTTGCAGGTAGAAGGCTAGTAGATTGTGACTGACAGCATGGTCAGAAGCGGCTGAAGCGGCTGCTGGAAGAACAGCGTCAGAAGACAGTGGAAATTGCAAATAAGTCGCAGCAGCAGCAGCGGGCGGTGGAGAGAGCAGCAACCACAGCGTACAACTGAGAGCAGGAGAGAAGGAGAGCAGCAACCACAGCCGATGCAGCTGTTTTTGGTTTAGAGAAGGAGAGGCCAAGGAAGGGTACAGGGAGTTAGAGCAGTGCGACCGTGAGCAGTATTTGCAAGGCCTGTCAGAGCGAGAGCAGTCAGAGCGGGAGCAGTCAGAGCGAGAGCAGTCAGAGCGAGAGCAGAGTGTGGTGGAGAATATCCGCAGAAGTGATGATCCCCACCACTGTCATGCCTGGCTTGTCCCCCTCTCGTGGAGCAACCACAGGCAGTCGAGCCACCTGCAGCGCAGCACAGGGACAGCGCAGCACAGGGACAGCGCAGCACAGCGCAGCAGAGGGAGACGAGAGGGACAATGAGATGGGAAGAAGTGGGGGAGGGAAGGAGGGAGAAGGGATGGAGAAGCTGGGCGGAATGAGAGGAGTAGAGAGATGTATACAGCATCGAGGAGTTGAGGCATGGATGAATCATGAACGACGAGATAAGAGCACAGAGCTACACGTTCATAGATAAAAGGTAGCAGTTTACAGAGAGTTCTGTGGTGGCGAGGAAGACAAGGGAAGGGTGGGAGGGATGAGGAGAAGGGGGAACTGGGCAAGACAAACTCAATCTACACTCGCACACACCCCCCAACCCACATCCATTCTCACCCGAGCATGCCATCCAAACCCCATGCAAGAGCAGGAGATAGAACGAACGAGAGAGTAAGAGAAAGAGCACGAAGGGCGGAGCGGGGCGTACATTGCGGTTGATCATGATGGTGGCGGCGTCCGACAGCAGCGCGCCAGCCTCCACAAAGAGCGCGGGGGCGGTCATGGCGTCCGCCACGGTGCGGCTGCGGATCTTGCCCAGCTGCGCGCGCAGCGACGGGCTCATGGGGCCCTCGTACGGCTCGCCCATCAGATCGTCCTCCTGAAATGGATGGAGGCGATGAGGGTTGGCAAGGGGGAGGGGAGAGAAGAGGGGAGACGCGGAGAGAGAGGGGGAGGCGGGGAGACGCAGGAGTTGAGGTGATTTAGAAGGCGCAGCGAGGATGCAGTGCTGACGCGAGTTTGGCAGAGGGAGAAACGCGGAAGGCCGAGGGGAAGGGTTAGAGGGACGGCAGGAAGACCGAAAAGTGTTCTGAGACCTCGCGTGGATGGTCAGATGTGCAGCAGAGCAGAGGAAAAAACGGGTGATATGGAAGCGAGAGCGGGCACGAAAGCGAGGGAAAGCGGGTGATAGGATGCGAGGGCGTACCCCAGGGTACGGCACAGTCTCCTTCCACAGCACGTCGCGCTGCGACAGCACGCCCACGAGGCGCCCCGCGCCGTCAGCGCCCGCGCCCGCGTCGTCGTCGTATGGCTCCACCACGGGCACTCCGCTGACCGCGCACGCCGCCATCAGCTTCGCCGCCGCCTTGAGCGACGCGCGCGGATGCACGCACACGGGGCGGCGCGTCATGTAGTCGCGCACCGTCGGCGGCGCGGCGACGGCGATCGGCGATTGGTCGTCATCGGAGAATCTGCGGAACGGGAGGAGGCGCGACACGGCGGAAGGGAAAGAGCCACGTGAAGGCGAGGACGAACGGAAAGAAAGAAAGAAGAAGAGATTAAGAGGGAAGGAGTCAATATCTCATTGCTCGACAAAGGACGCCCAGCATCGAAGGTCAAGCGAGGTCCAGTGGCGCGAATTCCCGAGGGAGCAGCCGCGCAAAGAGAGCGAACCCAACGGCGCGAAGAGCGAATTCAGCAGGTCGAAGGGCGGGCGAGTTCAGTACCGCTCGTCTGTGAAGTCGAGCTCGGGAAGGGCGCTCTGCCACATGGCGGCATCCGCGAGAAACACGCTCCCGCTGCTCGTCCCCACGCTATGCCATAGATTCTCTTCCTCCTCCACCGCCGCGCCTCCCGGCTTCTGTTGCTGCTGTCCGGGAAGTTCGCGTACCAGAGTTTTTTTCGCGGCAGCGGCGGCGGTGGAGATTTTGGCGGCGGCCGCGGCGGCGGCGACAGGAGTCAACCCGCTGCCTGAAGCCGCGGCAACGGCGGCGGCAATTGGGCGGTCCGAAGCCGCAGCACGGACGACGGTCGAGCGGCGAAGAAGCTTCGATTCCCGCGTGCCGGGGCCGGCGAGAAAGCCCGCCAGGCCGGTGCCGCGCGGGCGCTCCCGGAATGGCGGCGGAGCGCAATTCTTTGAACGAATCATCGTCATGGGGCTATTGCGGCGCTTTATTTTCCCGTCACTCACTGCCTGAAGACCAGTGCCAGTGCCAGTGGTGGTAAGAGCGGCCATCGCGGGAGGCATCGTTCCGCGGAGGCTCTTCGGTCGGGCTGCGGAACCGAGGAGGTTCTTGCAAGCGGTTGAGGCGGTAGCGGCGATTGCGGCGGTGGCGGCGGCGGTGGACATGATTAGTACTTCTGAAGTGGCGCGCGAAAGATGGTGCTGGTGGTGGGAGAGGGGGGTGTGATGAAGCCAGTGCTGCTCCGAGAAACGAATGGCAAGGGACGCGAGTGGCGAGTCACGAGTCGCGGGAAACGAGTTAGCGTTAGACGGACAGTGACGCCAATTCGCGGAGGTTGATGGTTGATGCTGGCTGGTGCGGTGCGTGCGATGAAGGAACAGAACAGCCGTTAGCCGATGCTATATCTTGAGGCAGGGAAAATCCTTCAGAAGGTTCCGACGATGCGGAATGAAGAGCCAAAGTCGACTTCTCTTCCTCTTCCTCTTTCTCTCCTCGTTAGCTCGTGTGCCCCAACGAACAGGTGCGCGCTTGCGGGAAGCACGCGCTCGAGTCGTCGTGGAAGCTGCCTCGCGTTGGATGATACTACTATTGCGCCGGGAATATTATTATCTGAGTCTTGAGTCGACCCAAAACGCGCCAGGAAGTTCAATTGCAGGTTCAAGCGCTGCTGCGGCGGGGGAAGATCCTGCCGGAGCTAAATCACGCAGCGAATGGCGTCTCAGAGTCCGACTCGTTGATTAGGATTAGGATTTTGGCGTGCCTTGAAAGGCAGCGGCAGAACTCGAGAGATGATGGGCCTCGGAGACGTAAATGGTCTTTAGGCGAGGAACAAAGGCAGTGCCGTTTGCTCTTGAATGAGGAGGTTGTGGTAGAGAGCGCGCCTCGCAAACTGTCCTGTCGAAACCACACAGAGAAAGTGCCGATTGTGGAATTGAAGCAAGTGATTTGAATGTAGGCTAGTTGCCACATTCACTGCTTCGGTCTCCAAATTCCAACCAAGCTGAATTGAAGTGGAGGGCTGGTGGGGGGAAGGGCGGAGGAAGAGGGGGAGGCGGATGTGAGGAAGAGAGGTGAGGGGGAGGAAGAGGGAGGAGGAAGGGGAAGGGGAGGGGCAGATTGGAGGGAGCGGGGAGGCGAGGGCGGGGTGGGAGGGGTGAGGAGCAGGGCTCTCGATTCATTTTGGGGCACGCTGCCTGATCCGAGTTGTGACCCACTACACCCTGCCTCTGCAGTGTGCCTTGGCAGTCGTACCCAAGAAATGGCAGTGTGTTTTGTTTTCGAGGTTGAATCTAGCAGGGCGGATCCCGCAATCTACCCTGCCATTATCGATTGATCCCAGGAGCCAGAAAATATGGTCGAGGACCTTTCTGGCCCGATTTTGAAGTGTGTTCCTCAACCGACAAAACCGACAAAGAGGGTGGTCGTCTCCTTGCGTAAGTGCGTAGTGGTTGATGTTTTAGTGGTGTGAGGTGGGGAGATGAGAGGCCTGCCGGTGGGTCTTCTAGGTGCGGTCACCAGCGATAACACGCTGCTCTCTGTGCTAGATTGAATCTCATGTGTTTCAAGGACTTAGCCGAGTCTGGAATTTCAGTCTCGAACGCTACTGGGCACATTTCAGTCACAAACGCCGCTCACTGTGCTAGAGCTGACTTCTGGTGTTTCAATTACTTAGCCGATTCTGGAAATTTCAGTCACAAATTCTACTGGACACATTTTGGCTTAGAAGAATAGCCGCGCAGTTAGTGAATTCTGCAAAAGGGAAAAGTAGGCAGGGTATCTGCCGTAACGATTCGGGAAACGGCAGTGTTGCACATAAGCGTAACAGCATTTGCAGGGTTTGTTTTAGCCCTGCCTGACGATAACAGGGTGGGAGCCCAGCCAAACACAATTCTAGCAGTGTGGGTCCAAAATTTCCCCGTGAAATGCAGGGCAAACAGGGTAAAACGCCCTGATATCCTGAGGCCGAGTGAGGAGAGGGGAAGATGAGGCTTTAGAGGAGAGGAGGGGCAGTTTTGAAGGGGCGTCTTGCTGTACGACGAATGCGGTTTCCGCAAATCGTACAGCGGCACAAAGTGGGGCAGGCTCTGCGCTTTGCGTCGGTGCTGTGCTAATGTAGCATGCTGTGGCGGCGAGGGAGCGACGCGGTATGGCGAGGGATGTGCTGCGCTGCCAGGCATTGCATGCTCCATGCATGTCCTGATGTCAGGACTCGGGGGTCGGGACATGCCAGTTTGTGTTGTACGTATGTGTGTGTATGTCATCTCAGCTGCCCCTTAGCCCTCCCATTCCCCCTATCCGCCCACCTTCGCGGATTTCCAGTCCAGCACCAGGTGCGAAAGATTGTGTGCATAGACTCTTTCTGAGCTCTTATTATTTATTTTTAAAACCCCTTTCCCAGCGCGTTCTTGACGCGTTCTTGGTATTATTAAATTCAGTCGACACCGTGGTTAAAACAGTTCACTATTGTCTGTATAAATGCATAGAATTTGATTATGTAACCTTAATCACCACGTCCAGGGGGGTTTCGGAACTCACCTTTTCACAGTTGATAAAGCCTCGTGGAAAAATGACGCATACATATAACCTCAGGTAAAATTATGCAATAATAAGCGAAAAGGAAGAAGGAAATCAAACATGGGAAACGAATACGATTTGAGAAGTTGTCGATCCTATAACAAGGTTAAAGCCCGCAACCCAAATTACGTATGATTGCTGATTTTGTGTGAGAATGGTTGCTGGATGGTAGGTAATAGCAAAGTTGAGCAAAGTAGCTTGTAAAACTTCGACGAACATCTCCTCACAATGTTCAGTGATGCTTCGTTGAGTCAACAAAGCTCAAAAGTCTCCATGTGCTCGGGGCCAAGAGTCTAAAATTGCAAAAGTCTGAATCTTGAAGTTTTTACTGCTCATATTACATGTATGAAATACAAGATGCTCAGACCACAATCAATTTTTGTCGCATCTAGAGTAGCCAGATGTTCGCCATAAATACAGTAACCAAAATGGGAATATGCAAGATTAGTAACTTGCAATCTACAATTTAGGCTATGGGCTTTAACATTGTATACGATTGATCTATCTCAGAAACCCCTCATTTCCTACGGGTTCAAGTTTTTACTAGTTCCTTATTTAAAACATTAAGCTGAAATGGCCAAGTCAGTAAAATGGAAACTTCCAAAGAATAAGGTTCCGGTTTCAAAGCCCATTGCCCTGAAAGAGGGTTTCGCACTGCTCATCTAGGAGTGGGGAGTCCTTACCTCGATACCCATCGATTTGTGTAAACAAGTGTATATGCGGATTACGATCAACAACCATAGTACTATCAAAGAGATTTTCCCGTTAAACATTTACCTTTACCATGTGTAAACCAATGTTTGATACTGGTAGTTTAACTGTTGCAGAAAATACCGGAACTGTTAGGTGAGATAAATGGTTTGTTTTGTGACAATACGAATAAGAGTTGCATTTATTACATCCGTGCTTGAATTGAACAACTAGACCGATGGAATCGGATGAGTCTCTCGATAGGGGTCTACAGAACTTCCAGAGGCCTAAATACAGTTGCACTAAGTAAATTCTCCGTACGAAAACTGAGGGAAGGGAATTGTTAACGTTTGTCGTCCCGGTCAGCTGATATTTCAGGGGATGATGTGAGTACTCTGATATTTGCCAGACATATACACTGGTAGTATTTTTACTGAAATGTGCCTAGGCCAGGGTTCATCCCGTTTCAGAGGGCTCCAAAGTAGCCGCTGATTTGTTTGCGGTTAACGATTCTGTTGAACCCATTTTCCGTCCCACACCAGCACTTCTGTCTAACACGCATTTTTCTGTTTGCCTGCCACCATGCCTAAGTGCTGCCGCGTGCCTCCATGTGACAACCATTCTTGCGTCTGTTCCTTCACATAAGATGAAATATGGGTGTGTTACATTTTTCATTTTTTCGTCCAGACGGCCAGCCGTCCGGACAATTGTGTGGTTACGAAACTCGTTAAGTCTCGGCAGTGAGTTCGTCAGGGACTAAACGACGTCGCATTCTTCGTATTGCGTCCTTACGACATCGCGCTGGTCGCAAACTGACCGTGCGACGTCAATCTTCGCACACGTCCGGACAGCCGTCCAGATATTCAGTGACATCGAAAAATGTAGCACGTCCTAAGACCGTGCTTCCCAGCTCTCAAGCGTTCTCACTTTCACATCTCTCCCTCTTGGACGGGTGATACATTTTCGTAATGGTTCGTTTAACACAGTTTAATTCGGTAAACATGTGTTATGCGCTGTTATCAACGCACCCACACAAGCCTTCCGCAACGATGGAAGAACAAAAAAATAATGTTTGACCACCACCCTAGCCGTGCACAGTTTTCTGTTGCGTTGCTGTTTCCCTATGCTGAGCTGGAACCAAAGGTCGTCAAAATCCTCCGAGCGACATTGTGCGTGCGAGTGCGCTGAATGAGAGGGGGCTGGTTGGGGTGCAGCGCGGTCGAAAACCAGCAATCACGTGCTTCACTGCTTGGGATGACGGTGACGTCGTGTTGCGATTGGGCTACACCTGAATTACGTAGTTGACGATCCAGTCCACGTGTACAGTCTGACAAAATGGTCGAGCTCGGCTTGCCTGAATCATGAGACCCGACCAGCTTCTTCAGGATTCGGCAGAAATGACGTCATCGTTTGAGATGTCCTGACAAGTTATCAAAATATCATTTTATGGGAGGACTACGAGTGTGAAATTTCATGAACGCTCTGGCAACTCAAAACTCAAGTGCTTGCATATTTCCAGAAGGGAGAAATAGCCACCGTGTGTGCTACCGAAATCACCTGGCAAATATGAGCAATGCCCCCTGATTGGAATCCTTAACTCACGAAATAAAGATAATGTTAATTACTACACCAAAGGCATATCTAACTACCCATTTTGAGGAAACGTTCTAGTAAATAGGTCATTCAGTTGCAGTTAGTAGCCCTAGCCCACGAGCCCCTCGGCTAATAGGAATACCGTTAAGGAAAGGAAATAAGAAAAACGTCGAGACATCCGCACAGCAGACAACCACATGCTGCATACATACATGCTCTGCCACCCCCCTCTGCCTTCCCCTCCCCTCCCTTCCAATGCTGCAATAGCATATGCTGCTAAGATCACAGACAGTGCACAGCACACGTTGGTTGACCTGACAGATTATTTCTTACACCGCAGCCACGCAAGCACGGCACAGCAACGGCGTGTGGGTGAAAGCGGTGAATGCGGAATAACCATTGCTGATAAGGAGTTGAGGAAGCCATAGCTTGGAATTTCACCCAAGAAGATGAAGATAGAAGCACCTTAGCATGGGATACTGGATCATAAGGAAGGGAATACTGACGAAAGGAGAGCGAGGGGTGGTGCAAGACAAGCAAAAAGAGGGACGAGGGAATGGAGCGGAGCGGGATAGGGATGTTGGAAGAGGAGGATGATGAGGAGGAGGAGGAGGAGGAGGAGGAGGAGGAGGAGGAGGAGGAGGAGGAGGAGGAGGAGGAGGAGGAGGAGGAGGAGGAGGAGGAGGAGGAGGAGGAGGAGGAGGAGGAGGAGGAGGAGGAGGAGGATGAGGAGGAGGATGAGGAGGAGGAGGAGGAGGAGGAGGAGGAGGAGGAGGAGGAGGAGGATGAGGATGAGGAGGAGGAGGAGGAGGAGGAGGAGGAGGAGGAGGAGGAGGAGGAGGAGGAGGAGGAGGAGGAGGAGGATGAGGAGGAGGATGAGGAGGAGGAGGAGGAGGAGGAGGAGGAGGAGGAGGAGGAGGAGGAGGAGGAGGAGGAGGAGGAGGAGGAGGAGGAGGAGGAGGAGGAGGAGGAGGAGGATGAGGAGGAGGAGGAGGCGGAGGAGGAGGAGGAGGAGGAGGAGGAGGAGGAGGAGGAGGAGGAAGAGGAGGAGGAGGAGGCGGAGGAGGAGGAGGAGGAGGAGGAGGAGGAGGAGGAGGAGGAGGAGGAGGAGGAGGAAGAGGAGGAGGAGGAGGAGGAGGAGTCATGCCAAGCTGTTTTACTCCAGAGATGCCTCGACAGCAGAGTCTGGATCAACTTATTCGCCCCACCCACCCACCCAACCACCCACCTACCCAACCACCTACCCAACCACCCACCTACCCAACCACCTACCCAACCATGCACCCAACCATGCACCCAATGATGCACCCAACCATGTACCCACACACCCACGCACGCATCCTAAGCAGTTGCGCTTCTTCCTCCGCACATACCTCCAGCTCCCATGTTTCCCAAGTGTTTCACACGCTATGCTATCCCCATTATGGTACACGGTGCTGTTCTCTCTCGCCACACGGCTCCATCCATCCACCACCCACGCCATCGATCAGGCTGCTTCTATGGCTGCTACACCATCGCTATCAGCCTCAGCATCCCACAGAAGCTCCCGCAGTGACAGCGGCTGAAGCAGCAGCCAGCCATCCGTCAGAACCTTAGCACCAGGAATTAACTAACTTAACCTACCCCTTGCCCCCGCCTTTCCATCCTCAGCACCTTAACCAGCTACTTCGCTTTAAATAGGCTACAATCCACCCCCCCTCCCCCCCCCTCCCCTGGATTTGAGCCGCATCAAAAGTTAACCCTTGCCCCCGTCTTTCCCCCCTTCCCTCAGCAGCTCTAGCAACTCTGCTGCTTCAGGAGCCACATTCCCCAACCACCCCTAAGAGTATTGAGGCGCTTCAACTCTCACCGCTACCCCTTCCCCCCGTCTTTCCCTCCTTTCCTCAGCAGCTCTAGCAACTCCTTGGCTTCCGGAGCCACATTCCCTCCCCCTGGTACAGCTGCTCCCGCCGCCTTGCTCTCGCTCCCACCACCAGCAGCCACACGAACCAGCGACGGCAACATCCCCTCTGCAAGCAGATCCTTTACAGTGACAATCTCCATTTTAACCATAGCGAGCAGCACCGCAGCCGCATCCTCTTTCGACCGCTCCGAAGCCCCTTCATCCAACAAATCTACCATTCTCATCATCCCGTCGCTCCTCTCAATCTCCTCGCAGCCCTCGGGCAGCCGCGAAAGATTCAACAGCACCGCCACGGCCTTTTCTTCCAGCCCGGGCAGATCCTCCTGCCCGATCACATCCAGCAGTACAGGAATCGCCCCCGCTGAAACCACTTCCTTGGCTCCTCGCGTCGACAGCGAGATCGCAAACAGCGCCAGAGCCGCGTCCTTTCTCCCTCTCGGCGTCCCGTCTTTGATCACCGTCAGCAGCAGTGGCACGGCCCCCGATTGCCGCACCGCCCCCCGGAAATCATCCTCTTTCGCCAAAACATACATTGTCGCCGCAGCCGCAGCTTTGGCAGATTGAGAGCCTTGCTTCAAGACCTGGACTAGAGCAGGGATGGTCCCGGCTCGAGCTAAATCAGGAGCCGCAGCCCAGTGCAGAGCAAGAGCGAGAATCGCGGCAGCGACCTGATCTAGCTCCTCCAGCCTCGCGGCCTTCTCTCCTTCCCCCTCTCCGTCTCCTCCCTCTCCCGCCCCGCCCTCCCGCTTGATCACAGCTACCAGGGCTTTAATCACCCCGGCACGCACCAGCTGCTTCCGAGCTACCGGGATCTCTGCCTCTCCCTGCCCTTTCACGTCTATTCGGATCGTCCGCGCTGCTGCCACTCTCTTACTCCTCGACCCGCTCCTCAGATCTTCAGCCAGCTGGGAGAATCGCGCTCCTAGCTGCGCTGCCAGCTCATCAGGATCGAATCCCAGGTCCACACCTGCGCCGCCCGGTCCCTCAGTAGAGAAGAAGTCGGAGCCTGCCGCCCGCCGTGCCGACCCACCCAGTGCCCCCGCCCCTCCTCTGCTATCCCCACCTCTTCTCTCTGGCGTGGCCGGCCTTTCCCACGGGTCTCTAGCTCTACCCAACCCTCCTCCTCCCCCTCCCCCTCCTCCCCTTCCTGGTGCCCCCTCTAACCCTGCTCCAGCTCCTGCTGCTGCTGCCCCTCCCCCTGGGTTCGCCATGGGGTCTAGAAGGTTCCATCCCACGCTCCTGTTGCGCCTGTGGGTGTCTGCACTCGCAGGGCGAACCACAGAACCGAATGATGCACTTACATACCGCTCTTTACCACTCCCGCCCATCACCAGACCCACACTGTGATCCCCTACTATTACCCCCCCTCCTGCAACCCCTCCGCCCGCCCCTCCGCCCGCCCCTCCGCCAGCCCCTCCCGCTCCCCCTCCTGCCCCCCCACCAGCAGTCCCCCCTCCCCCCTCTCCCCCACTCCCCGCGCCTCCCCTACTTGCCCCCCTTCCTTTGCCCGCCCCGCCCGTACCCCCCCCTGCTGCTAGCGTCCCCATTCCCGTTTTCGTCCTCTCCAGATCCAAGCTTCTCCTCCCTGCTCTAGGCGGGGGTTCGAATCCCCGCTGGTCCACTTTCCCTTCCGCTTTCCCTTCTGCCTGCTGCTCCCTCAACGACCGCCCTCGCCCCAGTAGCCGCTCCTTCTCCTCTGCAGGGCTTGCTCCCGTCCCATTGCGCCCATTTGTACCGCTGCTACCACCACTGCCACCGCTGCCAACCGCACTCCCCGCCCCAGCGTCATCTGTCACTCCCCAGCCCCTTAATAGTCCAGGCGGGACCGAAGACATAGACCGATTTATACCGCCAGAGGCATGATGCCGACCCGATCCCGGACCTGATCCCGAACCTGATCCCAAACCTGATCCTCCACCATGCCTCCCACTCCCTCCTATGCTCCCTCCACCAACCCCTCCCCCACCCCCTCCGCCCTCCCCTCCTTCCCCTCCCCCCCTCCCGGACCACCGCCCCGAGCCTCCCGCTCCGGTTTGGTCCAAGGTGGCGGACAGGTCATCCTGGCTCCCAGACAACCCCGAACCTCCCAAACTGCTGACGGACCTCCCGCTAGCTGGGGAGTGGAACGGGGAGTGCGGGCGGGGGACGGGGGGGGACGACAGGCGGGAGAGGTTCCGGGGCTCGGGGAAAGGGGCGGAGTAGGGCGCAGCGGGGGCATTGGGGGAGTTGCGGGGGGGGCGGGAGAGGGGAGGGGAGCGGCCTTGGCTGGCCGGCGCGTGCTGCTGCGATTGCTGCATCAGAAGCAGCTCATGGGGAGGTATATCTAGCATCCGCCCGGAGGTAGAACCATGCTCCCTCTGACTGCTGCTCTTGCTGAGAACCCACGAGTCTCTCTGGATGCTGCTCTCTGGTCTCACCTCTCGCTCTCCATACTCTTCCGACTCCCTTTCTCTCTCCATTTCCATCTCTCTCTCCCTCTCTTTGTCCCTCTCTCGGTCTCTCTCCCTGTCCCTGTTCCTTAATGCAAACTCTCCTGATCTCCCGTGACCAGCAGCAGCATCTGCTTCAAGCTCCCACGTCTCCGTTCCTCCTCTCCTCCGCCTGTTCCTCTCCCCCACTCCTCCTCCGCCCCCAAAATCCCCGCCCTCGCCCCCAGCGTTCCCCTTATGCGCCCTCCGCGCCGCTTCCTCTCGGGTTACTTTCCCCCCCCCTCCCCCGGCTTCCCCCTGTAGCGCCGCTAGCGCCCCCCCTCCCCACGTCTTCGTACGGGAATGCTCCCCCAGCCTGCGCTCCCCCTCCGCCGCTCCCCCTCCACCTCCGCCCTCCCCCCCCCCGCTCTCCAAATCTCCCGCCGAGCCCTTCCCCAGCTCCATGACACGCGCGCGCAGTGCATGCACGCTCACCCCGAAGCCCCCTCCCCCCGCGCCCGCAATCCCCCCGCTGGCGGACTCCCGCTGGCTGCCCTGGCGGGACATGATGGGGGAAGTAGTGGCGGAAGCCATGGGCGTGCGCACGACAAGAAGGTTCCGCCACTGGGGGACGGCATGGGGGGAAGGCGGGCCGCTGGGGAGGTCTCCCGCGGTGCTTGTGCCTCCGCTCCCCTCCCCGTTCTCATCGTGCTCCGGAGTCAGATCGAGGCCTAGAACGGCCGCGCTGAAGCGCCCGCTAGAGCTCCCCGTTCCGCCCATGGCGCTTCCGCCGCTTCCGCCGCCCTGCTGCTGCGCCGCTAGCTCCATCAGCCGCGCGCGCTCCTTCCGCGTGACCTTCACGTGCGCTAGGGCCTCCATATTCACCCCCCCAGCTGGCATCTTTCCCCCGATACTTACCCCCTCCCCGTCCCTTTCGCCGTCCCCGCGCGCATCATTCCCCCCCCTTCTCCCCGACTCAAGCACCGGATTCTGCCGACCGCTCCCGGGGCTTCCACGTTCCCACCTATCCTGTCCTCCCCCTCCGCGTTCCCCTCCCCCTTCCCCTTCCCCTTCCCCATCGCTGTCGTCCTCCCCGCGCGGAGAAACCGGTGCGCCACGATCGCGAAACACCCCCGCCACTGCCGCCGCTGCCACCGTGATATCCATTTCGTGCCCGCCGAACCGCCTCTGGCTGTTCTCGAAGCCGCCGCTGTCGTCAGCAAACACGTCGTGCCGCCCCGACAGCGACCCGCCGCGCATGCGCATCGGGGAACTGTCTGCGCCGACGGCGGAAGCGCTGGCGACGCTCCTGCTAGTTCCAAACTCCCTGGAACTCCCGCCTTTTAAAATCCCGCGCTTCGGATGCTCGGGGGTCGTTCCCAGAGACATCGCGCCGCCTCTCCGCGCCGATCCCATCTCCGCTTTTTCCGCGCGCTCCTTTAATCTACGTCCGGATCCCTCGCTGCTGCCCTCGTGCGCCTCCCTTCCCGCCGACAGCAGCGCGTCGACCCTACTCCCGCCAGAGTCTATTAATTGCGCGGGTTGCGCGCCCCAACTCGCGTTCCGCCCTACCGCCTTCCGCACCTTCCTCGGCGCCGTCGACGTCGCGGACTTCCCCGCGGACTTTCCCCCCGCCGCGGCGGCGGCGCCGCCCTTGTCCCTTTTCCTGCCGCCTGCCACGTCAGCATCTTCATCCTGATCTTCTGAGTCAGACCACGTGTCATGGTGCCGATCTCTGTCATTCCCAGCCTGCGCCTGCCCCTGCCCTTGCGCGGCCGCCGCCATTCCTCGGTCTTTCTCGTGCCCGCGTTCCGCTTCCGCTGACACATCATCCTCCCTCTTGTCCCTATCAGTCCCTTTCTTCTTCGCGCTGCTCTTGCTGGCACGCTCTTTTCCCGACACCCCCGTTCCTCCTTTCTCTCCCTGCTTCTCCCGGTCGCCAGTCCCCTTGCCTTTCTTCTCCCGCACTACCTCCCCTTTGTCCCTCAGATCTCCCGCTTCCCTCCCCCCCTCTTCCCTCGTTTCTCTACTATCCCGCCCGCCCTTGCTTTCTCCCGCGTCCTTCATTTTCCCCTTGACCTTCCGCTCCCTCCGCGGGCCGTCCTCGCTTCCCCGGTCATACGAGTTCCGCCGCTCAATCCCTCCCCTTTCCCCCTGGTCCTCCTCCGCTTCCGCCTTACGACTACTGCTACGGCCCTCTCCGCGCGACCGGTGGCGGTCCGCGGGACCTTGGGCGGAAGGAGGCCGCCTTCCGCTGCCGCTGCTTCCGCCCCCCTTTCCGCGGCCTTCCCCCGCGTATCCCCTCACCGCGTCGAGAGAAGGGGGAGGCTCCAAAGGCGCTAATGTGATGCGATTCGCTAAGCACCAATCAGTAATCATCTTTTTAACGGCTACATTAGGACATAGGTTAGTATGATCTACCCGCTGACGCGTTTTAGGACACGTCATGTGCCCTTCCGCAAACCACTGCTCGATAAAGGCACGCTCGTACGTCAGCCCGGACGCTATAATCACAGGATCTCGCATAATGTCCGCAGATAACGGGCAGGTAAAATGTTCCGGAACAAGAGACGCCAAAATACTAGTCGAACTACTGTTACCGCCCCCGCCACCGCCGCCACCGCCGCCGCCGGTGCTCGCTCCGCCACTCCCTTCCCCCCCTAGCCGACCCGAGCTCGTAGAAGGTCGTCGCATCATGCCCCATTTAGCGTGATCTGCGGCGTGAATTGCGGGAGGGCGGGAGAGCTGCTCCCAGGCATCCGATCCAACAAGGGGCCCGTCGGCCGCGGTCATCACAGGTGCATCGAGGCAACGCTGGCGAAAATGTTACAACGAATGCGGTGATGGTAACCGCTCATCGCCGCAGGAACACGCGGAGGGCGGGAGCATGGAACAGGGAGATAATAAATGGTAAGTGTAATGCGTCAGCGAGCCTTTGCAGATTCGCTTGCTTTATTGACGCGAGTCAGAGTGTCAGGTTAACTTGGAACGTATCCAGGAAACGAATAAATGGGTCAACGGTGATGGCGTGTTATAGGGAGCTAACTTCGCCCTCCAGGTCTACACAACATTGTGTTCCGCTCTTGTAATGCACGGACGCAACGAAACTCGCCTTATCACGTATCAGTTCGACGTCAGAACATAATTTGAAAGAAAGAAAGAAAAAAAGTACGAACTATTCCGCACGCAAGGTCTACGGACATCAAAGCAGAACCTACTTCTCGCGGGCTCGAGGGGCTGAATAGGAGGTGAGGGGGAAACCAAGAGCTAGCAGGACAAATGTCAGGTTAAGCTTGCGGTTTTCGAAAGTTATGGAGGTCAGAGCGAGCGAGCTCTGAGCTAGGTGCTGCCAAGAAGTTCTCAAGGTGGCGGAGCGGAGCGGAAGAGGTGCGCGCAAGCACAGCTGGTGGTTGGACACTGAGAAGCTGCGGGGCGGCTTCTTGAGTGTTCCGGCCCGGGCAGAGGTGTTTTTGGCGCAACCCAACGGCTTCCCCGTTTCGTTCGGTTCGGGGCCTCAGGTTGGATGGATTTGGTGGTCTTTGCTGTGCGCTGCTAGTGCGAAGAGAGTTTTACAGAGCATGGTGTTTAGGGAGGGTAAATATTAATCCTCTAGGGTTCGTCTAGCGCGGTTCAGTACGTTAAAACATGGTCACGAACGAGCTCTGTTTATTTACCGATTGAAAGCACTGCGCACCGAATCAAACTTCACAAACATCAAACTAAGCATTACCGAGGCTGGAAAAATGCCACTGGTCGCACGAGGCTGCCGGAGAAATACCAAACTATTTCCAAGCTTCGGGCAACCCGAACGTGAGATAGGTTTGGCGCACGAAGGTGTTCCTCCAATCAACATTTGTACACCTCTATGTGGTACCAAGCGACTCGTTGCGCTGGAACACCAAGGCTTGTACGCTATAACGAGACAGCTTCTTGAAGCTCTAAAATGAGATTCCAAGAAGTGGGCCATCGCCGTGGTACAAGCACACGAATTGCAGGTTCGAATGTGCAACACATCCGACTACCACTGAGCCAGCAAGCCAAACTCCAATAGCAGCAGTGCGTTTGATTTACGTTGCACTCCTGCCAGGCAGCAGAAACAACTATCTAGGTGCTGCTGTTTCAACGTTCTGGCGTTCGGTTCAGTTCAGTACCGTCTAGCTACCACCTGCAAGACCATATTCTTTTCCCACCACCCTTCTGAGTGCTCCTGCTGGAATCTCGAGCGTTTCGCAAATTCGTTTCCACTTTTGGGGCTTCGGGTCCTCGTAGTAGTTCAGATTCTTCGCTAACAACCCGATTCGCGCCCGCACGAAAAGACGAGTACGGTCCTTTGCGACCCTCGAGCGAATCCAATCGTACGGCCGGAGCAACCCGATTCGCGCCCGCACGAAAAGTACATCTGTGGTTCTTAACCATGTGACGCGGATGACCCGTTATGCCACAGCCAGAAGGAAACCCGCCTGTGTGTTCACGTCGAAAACCTGGCTGATCCATTGTTTCCCATAAGTCAAACCGTAGGTCACGCTGTCAGTCTGGGCCGTCAGTCAGAAAGACCGGCACTGACGCACGAACCTTGACTGTGGGCGCGTGAGGACCGACTGAAACAGGCGTCTGGCATGATCTGACATGATCTGACATGATCTGACATGATCTGACATGACCTGGCATGATCTGGCATTCGACCGTTGAGATTCCTCAGGTCCCAGTCCCAGTCGCTCTCTCCGCTCGCCTTAAGACATCTCGGGTTGTCCCTCCTCCCTCCCTCCCATCTCACCCATCTTATTCAAATCCTTGCGGCCTCGCGACCCTGCTTCCTCTTTCTGTTGCCATCTTGCCGCTTCCAACTCGCCACTCCTCGCCACTCCTTATCGCCACTCGCCTCTCGCCTCTGCTCGGTAGGATCGAGGTCTAGGTCTCAACGGTAGACGCGTCCATGGCGGACCGTGATGGCCGAGGCGCGGGCGGAGAACGCGGAGAATTCACCGAACGCGTTGAACGCGCCGACTGCGTTGAACGGGGAGAGCGTGACGAACGCGACGCGTTCAGTCCCAGCAGCAACGACGGCGATCGCAGCCCGCTGTTCGAGGGCCGGCCGAAACGGCTGTCTAACCGCAAGCTCGCGAGTATCTCCGTTATTGCTGCAGGTGTGGGCCTTATAAGGAATCGAGCACATCGCCTCACTATGTGGAACTTGAATGTAGTGAGATGCTCTGGTAGTTTCATGCTGGGAGGCTCTGAGGAATGCTCTGTTCGTAAGCTAATCTTGGGAATGGTCTGGTGGCTGTGCAATGTGTTTTTGGGGGGATCATGGGGGTTGGGGTTGACACGGGGGAGAGAATGAGCGGGTGTGTGTCAGGGGGGAGTAGGGGGGTGGGGGGATTGCAAGGGTGGTAAACTGGTGGGGTGGGGGGATGGAGGAGGGTTGCTGCTGTGCTGCATGTATGATTGTCATTGTTCCAGGAATTCAATTCGGATGGGCGCTGCAGCTCTCTCTGCTCACGCCATATGTACAGGTGAGTCATGGGACGCATCAACAAAACCTCCACAAATACGGTGCATCTGGCTGGTGCTGAGTGGAGCAAGCTAGTATAGCAAGCAAGCTAGTATAGCAAGCAAGCTAGATGCCAAGCAAGCTAGATGTCAAGCAAGCTAGATGTCAAGCAAGCTAGATGCCAAGCAAGCTAAGCGCCCGCTGCTGCTATTGAATCTCGCATTGCTCAAGTGAAAAGGCCGTGCAAGCAAGCCAGCATGTTCCAGGTGCCTGCCTCGCTGCCTTGTCCTAGTCCATGCACTCACTCACGCCATTGTCTCATGACTGCATCTCATGAGAGTCTCGGTTCCACACTGCATGGAATGCCATGCACACTGTCCCGCGTCGTGCAGTGCACGCCATGCACACTGTCCTGCGTCGTGCAGTGCACGCCATGCACACTGTCCCACGTCGTGCAGTGCACGCCATGCACACTGTCCCGCGTCGTGCAGTGCACGCCATGCACACTGTCCCGCGTCGTGCAGTGCACGCCATGCACACTGTCCCGCGTCGAGCAGTGCACGCCATGCACACGGTCCCACGTCGTGCAGTGCACGCCATGCACACTGTCCCGCGTCGTGCAGTGCACGCCATGCACACTGTCCCGCGTCGTGCAGTGCACGCCATGCACACTGTCCCGCGTCGAGCAGTGCACGCCATGCACACTGTCCCACGTCGTGCACTGCACGCCATGCACACTGTCCCACGTCGAGCAGTGCACGCCATGCACACTGTCCCACGTCATGCAGTGCGTTCACCTCCACACGTTTCAAACAAATACGTCTCGTTCTTCCGTGAATGCTTGGTGGGCTTGCTTTGCCTTGCCGCCATCGCTCTGCTGTGCCTGCGCTGCGCCCGTGCTGCAGACCCTTGGGATTCCACACGTGTGGGCGTCGTTTGTGTGGCTCTGCGGTCCCATCTCTGGCCTTCTGGTGAGTTGCGGAGTTTTGGATGGAGTTCTGCTGTGTCTTGTAGCGACAGCCCCACGTCTAGAGAATAATCATCACCAGAGTGTTATGTGATTCTGCTACTGTGAATGTGAAATCGTGAATGGAGGTGCGCACATGCAAACGTGCCTACTCTCTTCCATACCTGTGTGATGTGAAGTATTAGCAATGAAAATGCAGGTACCTCTGTTCTCATCGCCAGAATTGCATTTTCACTGCTGATGCTTCTGCTCCGTGCAATGCTTCGTATGAGAGAAGGAGAGGAGAATCAGTAGTGGTGGTGGCTGTGGGAGCTGTATCCGCTGGCTCTTACATCAGCACCAGTTGTCACCCGACTCATCTGTCACATGCCATGCCACTTACATATGCCTGCCGTGCCCCTCAGGTGCAACCCCTTGTGGGCGTGTGGAGTGACTCATCTCATGCCAGTCGCCCTGGGGCCTGGGGCAACTTCTGTTTGCCTCAAGGCCTACCCCACATCACATACACATGTCTCCTGCTTCGTTGCAATGTTATATGCCACATGCCACACATGCCACATATGCCACATCTCTGCCACATATGCCACATGCCACATATGCCACATATGCCACATCTGCCACATATGCCACATGCCACATCTGCCTGCCTCTCAGGTGCAACCCCTGGTGGGCGTGTGGAGTGACTCGTGCCGCTCGCCCTGGGGCAGGAGACGCCCTTTCATCTTCACTGGAGCACTGCTAGTCATGGCTGCTGTATGTCATGCCACGCCATGCCATGCCATGCCATGCCATCCCATGCTTTCTAATGGCTTCTGGGCGTGATGCCATGCCATGCCATGCCACACATTGCCATGGCTGCTGTATGTTATCCCATGCGCCAGACGGTCAGATTGCCATGCGCTTCACATCACATGGTCACATCTGCATAGAACACCGCACCGCCCGCCATGCCTCCCCTTCCCCTTCCCCTTCCCCACCCCCCCCCCCCCCCCCTCTTCTCTCTTCCGCCTTTCTTGCCGTTGTTCTCGTTCTGTGCTCCTCCTCCCTGTGCCTGCACCTCGCTTTGCTGTTCATTTCTTCCAGTATTTTCCAAAACTGCTCGCACCTCTGCTTGCACGATTTCCACCATTCACATGCCCACGTCCCTCCCCCCTGTCACCACTTGCTCTTCATCAGGTGTTGATAATTGGCTTCAGTGCGGACCTAGGGTACCTTCTAGGGGACGATCTCCATCCTCAAGGCGGGTATGTGATTCAACCTCTGTATCGTCTTCTCCTCCATCGTACCATTTGTGACTGCATGTTACCATATGATTTATGATGCTAGCAGATGTTAGTACTTGGCTTCTGAGGCTCCTCACGAGTCATCCCTTTGCTCTCCTTCTCCTGCTCCCCCTTTTCCCACCCGCGTGCATACCCAACCCACCAGCACTCGCCCCATGGCGTGCGCTCTCTTTGTCTTGGGTTTCTGGTGTTTGGACCTCAGTAACAACACTGTGCAGGCCCCTGCGCGGGCTCTTGTCGCCGATTTAACAGGTACGCTGCTGCTTTGCAGGCGCCTCAAAACCGCACTCGTTGCTTTTGAGGCGCCTCAGAACCACACACGTTGCTTTTGAGGCGCCTCAAAACCACACTCGCCCCACGGCGTGCGTTCTCTTTGTCTCCCCGCGAGATGCAATCCTCACACCGCCTTGCGCCCCCCTCGTCGCTCCTCCTTCATCTCTCCTCTCCTCACTCCTTGCCCCTGTCAGCGCCCAGCAGTCAGCTGGAATGGAAGCAGCCAACGCGTGGTATTCCTTCTGGATGGCCCCTGGTGCGTCCATCCATCCAGCATACCCCGGAAACTCGGAACCTCAATCCACCTTCTTCTTGCTCCTCCTTCCTCTCTCTCTCTCTCTCGTCCCATGGTTCTCCTCGCAGCGCCCAGCAGTCAGCTGGATGCAGCCAACGCGTGGTACTCCTTCTGGATGGCTGTGGGCAGCGTGATGGGCTACTCCACAGGCGCCATAGGCCAATGGTACATGTGAGTCTCTGAATGTCGTATTGGGTGGGTGGTGTGATTTTTGAGTCTACGGTTTTTTTTTAGCCGATTTATTAGTTGACTACGAAAAAAACAGGCGCCATAGGCTGATGGTATGTGTGAGTCTCTGAGTATGGTATCGGGTGGGTGGTGTGGTGCATCTGCCTTCTAAGGCACCTCAAAGGCCAACGTGTGGTACTCTTTTTGGATGGACGTGGGCACTGGGCAGTGTGATGTGATGGGCCGTAGTTGGTGTGATGCTGAATCTGTTTTTTGAGAATTCTCAAGAAACAGACAGATTCAGCGTACATGGGCTATTCCACGTACGCAGGCGCCGTAGGCTCATGGTGCATGATGCTTCACCCATGGCGCAGTGCGTGAGTTTTTGACATGGTATCAGATGGTACATACATACATACATACATACATACATACATACATACATACATACATACATACATACATACATACATACATACATACATACATACATACATACATACATACATACATATAATTCTTTACCCCGATGCGTTAACTACCCACCCAGGTCCTCTCTAGACGGGAGAACCTTACAGTCCGTTGCTTCGAGGTGACTTTTGAGTCGACTCAAAAGCTACCTAGTACCCCCACCCAGGTCCTCTCTAGTCGGGAGAACCTTACAGTCCGTTGCTTCGAGGTGACTTTTGAGTCGACTCAAAAGCTACCTAGTACCCCCACCCAGGTCCTCTCTAGACGGGAGAACCTTACAGTCCGTTGCTTCGAGGTGACTTTTGAGTCGACTCAAAAGCTACCTAGTACCCCCACCCAGGTCCTCTCTAGTCGGGAGAACCTTACAGTCCGTTGCTTCGAGGTGACTTTTGAGTCGACTCAAAAGCTACCTAGTACCCCCACCCAGGTCCTCTCTAGACGGGAGAACCTTACAGTCCGTTGCTTCGAGGTGACTTTTGAGTCGACTCAAAAGCTACCTAGTACCCCCACCCAGGTCCTCTCTAGTCGGGAGAACCTTACAGTCCGTTGCTTCGAGGTGACTTTTGAGTCGACTCAAAAGCTACCTAGTACCCCCACCCAGGTCCTCTCTAGACGGGAGAACCTTACAGTCCGTTGCTTCGAGGTGACTTTTGAGTCGACTCAAAAGCTACCTAGTACCCCCACCCAGGTCCTCTCTAGTCGGGAGAACCTTACAGTCCGTTGCTTCGAGGTGACTTTTGAGTCGACTCAAAAGCTACCTAGTACCCCCACCCAGGTCCTCTCTAGTCGGGAGAACCTTACAGTCCGTTGCTTCGAGGTGACTTTTGAGTCGACTCAAAAGCTACCTAGTACCCCCACCCAGGTCCTCTCTAGTCGGGAGAACCTTACAGTCCGTTGCTTCGAGGTGACTTTTGAGTCGACTCAAAAGCTACCTAGTACCCCCACCCAGGTCCTCTCTAGTCGGGAGAACCTTACAGTCCGTTGCTTCGAGGTGACTTTTGAGTCGACTCAAAAGCTACCTAGTACCCCCACCCAGGTCCTCTCTAGTCGGGAGAACCTTACAGTCCGTTGCTTCGAGGTGACTTTTGAGTCGACTCAAAAGCTACCTAGTACCCCCACCCAGGTCCTCTCTAGTCGGGAGAACCTTACAGTCCGTTGCTTCGAGGTGACTTTTGAGTCGACTCAAAAGCTACCTAGTACCCCCACCCAGGTCCTCTCTAGTCGGGAGAACCTTACAGTCCGTTGCTTCGAGGTGACTTTTGAGTCGACTCAAAAGCTACCTAGTACCCCCACCCAGGTCCTCTCTAGTCGGGAGAACCTTACAGTCCGTTGCTTCTTGATGGCTCTCCAATTCTCGCTTGCCTATTCGCACTTCACTCAGCCACCGTCCCTACCTCTGCTTTCGGGGCGCCTCAAAAGCCCTCTCGCTCTTCATTCTGCCACCTTCCTCCTCCCCCCACCGTGCACCACAGATGGTTCCCTGTCCTCACCAGCGATGCGTGTGGGGAGCAGAGTTTTGAGACATTTCAACACTCACCCTGCCCCTGCCACCCTGCCCCCTCTTCCTCCTCCCCCACGGTGCACCACAGATGGTTCCCTGTCCTCACCAGCGATGCCTGTGGGGAGCCCTGTGCCAACCTCAAGGCCGCCTTCCTGCTAGCCATTGTGCGCCCGCTCTCTCCCTCCTCTTCCTGAATTTCTATCTCTGCTTCACCCTCTTCCTCTTCCTTTGCTCCCTCCTCTTCCTCTATTTCTTTTTCCTCTTCACCCTCTTCTTCTTCCTTTTCTCCCTCCTCTTCTTCCTTTTCCCTCTCCGCCTCTTCTTCCTCTTTTCTCCCTCTCCCTCCGCTCGCTCTTCCTCTCGTTCTTCCCCGCCCCTCTTCTTCTTCCTCCCTCCTCATGCCCTTACGCCATGCTCGCTCTTTCTCCATGCTCGCTCTTACTCCATGCTCGCTCTTACTCCATGCTCGCTCTTACTCCATGCTCGCTCTTACTCCATGCTCGCTCTTACTCCATGCTCGCTCTTACACCATGCTCGCTCTTACACCATGCTCGCTCTTACTCCATGCTCGCTCTTACACCATGCTCGCTCTTACTCCATGCTCGCTCTTACTCCATGCTCGCTCTTACTCCATGCTCGCTCTTACTCCATGCTCGCTCTTACTCCATGCTCGCTCTTACTCCATGCTCGCTCTTACACCATGCTCGCTCTTACTCCATGCTCGCTCTTACACCATGCTCGCTCTTACTCCATGCTCGCTCTTACTCCATGCTCGCTCTTACTCCATGCTCGCTCTTACTCCATGCTTGCTCTTACACCATGCTCGCTCTTACACCATGCTCGCTCTTACTCCATGCTCGCTCTTACACCATGCTCGCTCTTACTCCATGCTCACTCTTACTCCATGCTCGCTCTTACTCCATGCTCGCTCTTACTCCATGCTCGCTCTTACACCATGCTCGCTCTTACTCCATGCTCGCTCTTACTCCATGCTCGCTCTTACTCCATGCTCGCTCTTACTCCATGCTCGCTCTTACTCCATGCTCGCTCTTACTCCATGCTCGCTCTTACTCCATGCTCGCTCTTACTCCATGCTCGCTCTTACTCCATGCTCGCTCTTACACCATGCTCGCTCTTACTCCATGCTCGCTCTTACACCATGCTCGCTCTTACTCCATGCTCGCTCTTACTCCATGCTCGCTCTTACTCCATGCTCGCTCTTACTCCATGCTCGCTCTTACTCCATGCTCGCTCTTACTCCATGCTCGCTCTTACTCCATGCTCGCTCTTACACCATGCTCGCTCTTACTCCATGCTCGCTCTTACTCCATGCTCGCTCTTACTCCATGCTCGCTCTTACTCCATGCTCGCTCTTACTCCTGCTGTGCCACATGTCACCTGCTGTGCCACATTCCCCCTTCCTCCCTCAAATCGCCACCACCACCTTCACTTCACGCTCCCAATTCTCTACCCGTTTGCACTCTTCTGCCCTCCTTTCCTCGTGCTTTCCCACCCCACCGTCACTTCCTTCCCCCACGCATAGGCGGTTCTATCTGTGTGCACCACAACCATCACCACTCTTGTCACCCCGACCTTCCTCTCTTTCTCTCGCCCCCCAAAACACAACCACCACTGTCACTTCCTTCCCCACACAGGTGGTTCTATCCGTGTGCACCACCATCACCATGCGATCAGCAAAAGAGCAGCCCCTCACACCCATCCCCTCCACTTCCTCCTTTCCCGTTTCCCTTTCCTCCTCCCCCCTGCCCTCCTCCCCTCCTCTCCTCCTTTCCCGCCCCTTTCCCTCCCTTCTAAACAGGTGGTTCTATCTGTGTGCACCACCATCACCATGCGATCAGCAAAAGAGCAGCCCCTCACGCCCATCCCCTCCCCCGCCACCTCGCCCACCCTCTCGCTCACCTCCATACACCACTCAGCTCTCCCGTCCGATATCGGCGAATCAGAACCTGCTACTGGGGTTCGTGGGGGCAGTGGGGGTAGTGGGGGCAGCAAGAGGGTTGGCAATGGGGTAGGGCTGGTGGGCTCTGGCTATAAGAGCAGTGATGGTGCTTCTTCTAGTGCCATCGCTGGTGCTGCTGGTGCTGCTGTTGGTTCTAGCACCCAGGGAGCATCAGGTGAGAGTGGGGAGGCGGCTATTGTGAGAGGGACTGAAGCAGATCACTTCACCACCGTTGATCTGAACTCGTTCCCTAATTCCCCTGCTTCTCTTGACCCTGCTGATCTAGCCCCCCTCCCTGCTGCCACTGCTGCTGATGCTACTGGTCGAACCACCGCCGCTGCCACCGGCACAGCGGATGTCCTCGATAGTATTCGCTCTGATAACAGCAATGTGATTAGACCTTCCGCAGAAGAACCTGTTATAGAAGAGTTCATTGGGAGTATATCACTTAATCGGAGCAGCAACAGGGGTCTTAACAGGAGCGGTAACAGGAGTCTGAGTTGGAACAGAGGTGGTGGTGGTGGTGGTGGGGAGGGGAGGGATGGAGATGAAGGGGTGATAAGCGAGGGCGGGAGTGGGGGTAGGGGCATGGCATGGCAGGGGGTGAGGCAGAGAAATCACAGCGGGAGTAGTGGAGGCTACGGGAGTGACAGCGGCACCACTGGCAACAGCAACAATGGTGGTGGCAGTGGTGGTGGCGGCAGCAGGGGTAGTAACACCACTGCCACCACCACCACCACCGGCAGCAGCAGCAACAGCACAACCACCACCACCCCCACTGCTCCTACCAGCAGCCCTCACCCGTCCAGTACTACTCTTGACTCAAGACGAGATGCCGCATCTGGAGGGGTTCTGAACTCCTTGGCTGCCCTATCAGCTGTACGGATGGATGGATACGTAAAGGTTGAGGATCAAGATGCGTTATTGAAGGATGTGGAAGGGCAGAGAGAAGGGGGAGAAGGGGTGTGTGGTGGGAGTGAGAAGGGCGGTGGGATGGGGAGGGAGAGGAGTGGGCGGAACGGGGGGAGGGATGGGCGGTGGGGGGGTGTTGGTGGGGGTGAGAAGAGGAGAGGCACGGAGGGGAATGGTGCGATCGGCGATGGTGATGGTGGCGGTGCAACTGCTGCTGCTGCTGCTGCTGCTGCTGCTGCTGCTGGTGGCAGTGTTAATGGCAATGGCGGTGGCAGCAGTGGTGGTGTGGCGTCAGTGGTAGTGGATCTGCTGGTTGGCATTCGACTCATGCCTAAGTCCATGCGCCTGGTGCTGTCTGTCATGGCTCTCACATGGGTGAGTGACACTTTCTTTAAGGCGCCTCGAAAATTGGCTTGTTGCATGCGGTTTTTATGTCGGCTCATTACGTGCGGTTTATTTGTTGAAAAGTTGTCAGTCCATGCGGCTGGTGCTGTCTGTCTGTCATGGACTAACATGACCGAGTGACACTCACTTGCCTGGGCGAGTGACGCTCACTTGCATGGATGAGTAACACTCATTTCTCTGCTGTCCCCTTTCTTGCCATCACTTTCCATAATGCATGCATCCCACGCCCACACATGTATTCCTCTCTTTCACTGCTTTTCTGATCAGATTTTCATGTTCCCTCACATCTCCTTTTTCTTTCCTCATCCTTGCATTGCATGTAACCCAGTACCCACCCGCCCCCCTCCTCTTCTTCCATCTGTTCCCCTCCTCGTCCCGCCTGAACCCCCTTCCATCCCACACAATTGGTGAATCCCATGGTTCTGGTGCTTACTACGCGACTTTGAGTGATGCTGCAAAGGTTTTGGTGCTTTTGAGAATTCTCAAAAGCAATTGGCGTGTCTCATGGTTCTGGTGCTTCCTATGTGACACGCCAATCGTGTGAGTGAGAAGAGAGGACTGGATGGGATGGGAGAAGGAATCTTTTGAGTCGACTCAAAAGACGTGTGTGCCTTTCTCTCCCGGTGTGGTTTGAGTCGACTCAAAAGTCACCAGGACTGGATGGGATGGGAGAAGGAATCAACCTGACACACGTCTCACCACGCGTCCTCCCCTCCCACTCCCGCCCATCCCCCTTCCCCCTTTTTATTCCTCTCCCCTCCCTTCCCCTTCATTTTATGGCATGGTTCCCATTCTTCCTATTCGACATGGACTGGATGGGCAGGGAGGTCTACCGAGGCGGTCGGTCTCATCCAAGTGACTTCTGAGTCGACATAGAATTCCTCCCCTTTTCACCCCCCATTCCTCCTTCCCATCAGATGGCATGGTTTCCGTTCTTCCTATTCGACACGGACTGGATGGGTAGGGAGGTTTACCGAGGTGAGCCCAGCAGCGCCGACCCTGCAGCGGTGGTTCGGTACCAAGCCGGCGTCAGGGACGGTGCCCTCGGCCTCCTCCTCTTTGCTGTAGGTCACTTGCTCGCTTGCTGCCCTTTCCCCGCTCCCCGCACCCTCTTTTTGAGTCACCCGAAAACAAGCTGGTGTCAGGGACGGCGGGACGGTGCCCTCGGCCTCGTCCTCTTTGCTGTGGGTCCCTTGCTCGCTTGCTGCCGTTTCCTCACACTTCGCACCCTCTTTTCTTTCCTCACTCTCCTCACTCTCCTCGCTCTCCTCACTCTCCTCGCTCTCCTCACTCTCCTCGCTCTCCTCACTCTCCTCGCTCTCCTCACTCTCCTCGCTCTCCTCACTCTCCTCACTCTCCTCGCTCTCCTCTCGCTCCTTGCACTCTTTCATCTCATCGCTCTCCTCGGTCTCTTTCCCTCGCGCCATCCCTTCTCCATCTTCCACTTCCGACTCTCCATCCCGCTCTCCCCAGGTGGTGCAAGCAGTCACAGCATTCTCTCTCGACCCCATCTGCATCCGCTTTGGTCCAGCGCTGGTGTGGGCAGCAGGCAACCTCCTGCTCGCCACCTCCCTCTTCTCCACCTGGCTGGTCACCGCCGCAGCAGACAACGCCGCCGCCGCCGCCGCTGCAGCCGCTGCTGCTAGTGCTGCAGAAGCAGCCGCAGCAGCCGCAGCAGCAGCAGCAGCTGCAGCGGCGGCGGCAGCAGGAGGAAATATGACAGGAGCGCCAGTACCAGCGCCAGGAGTGGGAGGAGCAGGAGGGAGTATGATGGTGGGAGATGGTGTGGGATGGCAAGAGCCGTCCACGGCTCTTCGAGCAGCAGCGCTGTCTGTCTTCGCTCTTGCTGGAGCCTCCTTTGCCGTGCGTCCCTTTGTCCCCTACTCTATCTGCCCTCTCCCTCGCCTCTTTATCACTTCATTCATGAATTTCTCTGTCTGCCTGAGCCACTGCACTCTCTGTCTTCGCTCTCGCTGGAGCCTCTTTTGCTGTGCGTCCCTTTCTTGCCTCTCCCACACCTCAACTTCCCCTCTCCCTCCCCTCTCCCCCTTCCCTTTTGAGCCGTCTCCTATTCATCCTGTTTCCTTATCGCCGTTTCTCCTTGACCCATTTCATTGATACGCTTATACCAATGCAACTCTTCTCGCTGCCTTCTGCCTTCTCTCTGATCGGGGCTCACATGATCGGGGCTGTATCCAGTCACAGCCATTGACTTTTGAGTCTGCTTTTGAGTCGACTCAAAAGTCGGGGCTCACATGATCGGGGCTGTATCCAGTCACAGCCATTGGCCTCATCGGCCACATTGGCCACGCCTCCTTCCTTGCTATTTCAGGATCAGTTGCTTTTCAAATTGCTGTTTTCACTCTGAGCGCAGATCACAGGAGTGGTGCCATACTCAATCACAGCCTATTGCCACATTGGCCACGTCCCGTTGCCTCCTTGCTATGCTTAGATCAATCGCTTTTCGCTTTCCTCCCTGTTTTTATTCCAATCACAGATCACAGGAGTGGTGCCATACTCAATCACAGCCTATTGCCACATTGGCCACGTCCCGTTGCCTCCTTGCTATGCTTAGATCAATCGCTTTTCGCTTTCCTCCCTGTTTTTATTCCAATCACAGATCACAGGAGTGGTGCCATACTCAATCACAGCCTATTGCCACATTGGCCACGTCCCGTTGCCTCCTTGCTATGCTTAGATCAATCGCTTTTCGCTTTCCTCCCTGTTTTTATTCCAATCACAGATCACAGGAGTGGTGCCATACTCAATCACAGCCTATTGCCACATTGGCCACGTCCCGTTGCCTCCTTGCTATGCTTAGATCAATCGCTTTTCGCTTTCCTCCCTGTTTTTATTCCAATCACAGATCACAGGAGTGGTGCCACACTCAATCACAGCCTATTGCCGCATTGGGCACGTCCCGCTGCCTCCCTCTTTATCAAGTCGCATCTCGTTTTGAGGCGCCTCAATTAAAACTACACATTGGGCACGCCCCAGTGCCCCCCTCTTGATCAAATCGTGTCTCTCTTCACTCCTCTCTGTGTTCTTCTCTGAGCGCAGATCACAGGAGTGGTGCCATACTCAATCACAGCCGATCAGACAGCAGGCAGCGGGGCAGGGCAAGGTGAGCAAATGAGGAGGGGCCAGGCACATTCTGAAATCTTGCAAGAAATGTTTAAGAATCACCACAGAAGATGGGCTCCCTCCGTCCATCTGCCTGAATCATCTGTGCTTTATGACTCATTGTTCCTGTGTGCCGAAGTCCCCATTAGTCGACTTGAATATGCACCCAAAAGTCAATTGTTTATTCAATTCCGTAATTTCACTTTGGTCCCAGCAACGCCTTCACTCTCCTCCTCCCCCTCTCCTCCTCCCCCTCTCCCCCTCCCCCTCTCCCCCTCCCCCTCTCCCCTCTCCCTCCAACTCCTTCTCTGCCCCCTCCCCTTTACCCACACATGCCATATAGGGTTTTGGTTTTCTATGGGTATCCTCAATCACGCCATCGTGTGCCCTGAGCAGCCCTCTCACCTCCCCCTCCTCCCCTTTTCTCCTCTTCCCCCTGCTCCTTTTCTCCTCTTCCCCCTGCTCCTTTTCTCCTCTTCCCCCTGCTCCTTTTCTCCTCTTCCCCCTGCTCCTTTTCTCCTCTTCCCCCTGCTCCTTTTCTCCTCTTCCCCCTGCTCCTTTTCTCCTCTTCTCCCTGCTCCTTTTCTCCTCTTCCCCCTGCTCCTTTTCTCCTCTTCCCCCTCCTCCCCTTTTCTCCTCTTCCCCCTGCTCCTTTTCTCCTCTTCCCCCTGCTCCTTTTCCTCTCTTCCCCCTGCTCCTTTTCCTCTCTTCCCTCTGCTCCTTTTCCTCTCTTCCCCCTGCTCCTTTTCCTCTCTCCCCCCTGCTCCTTTTCCTCTCTTCCCCCTGCTCCTTTTCCTCCTCCCCTTCTTCCGCACACGCTACAGGGCTTTCTATGGGCATCCTCAATCTTGCCATCGTGTGCCCTCAGGTACCCACCTCCTTTCTTCATCTCAGAACACCACCACCTGTTCTGCCTTGCTTCCCTCCTCCTCCCGTTCCACCTTGGCCCTTTCTGAACGCCCCCCACTGTTCTGCCTCTCCACCTTTTTTCCCTCACCCCTCCCTCCTTGCCTGCTCGCCCGCCCGCCTGCCAGCCCGCCCGCCCGCCTGCCAGCCCGCCTCATTCATGCCCCCGCTGCCACCTGTTGATGTGTCACTCACGTTTCTGGTTGGTCGCGGATTTCAATGCTTCAACCTCACTTCAATGTCTGAACCATGTGCCGCTCGCATCATCCCTTTTCCCACTCCCCACCATGCCCTTGCATGCACCCCCACCGCGCTCCACTCCTTGCCAGATCCTAGTCTCCCTCAGAGCAGGCCCTCGGTTGCTCTCATTGGCATTGCCAACCTCCAAAGTCGTCCTCACCTCCCCCCGTCACCCGCACCACTCTCCTTCCACCACCCCCTCCCTTCACCCCTACCACTCTCTTCTCCTCACTCACGCCAGAACCTTGTTTCCCTCGGAGTGATCCCCTAAAACTTTTGACACATCTCAAAAGTTTCCTCGTAGCGGGCCGCTGGGATGCTCTCTCCTTGTTGGCAGCAACATCCCGACGTTTGTGTATGACAAGTCGATTTCGCGGTGCTTAGAGTCCCATCCACCCACCCAACCCCTTCACCCCCACCCCTCCCGCCCTCCCTCTCTCCCCACCAGATCCTAGTCTCCCTCGGAGTGGGCCCTTGGGATGCTCTTTTCGGAAGCGGCAACGTGCCCGCCTTAATGCGTGATGATTCCCCCTTAATCCCTCCCCCACCCCGCCCCCTTACCCCCACCCTGCTCCTCTCCCCAACAGATCCTAGTCTCCCTCGGAGCAGGCCCCTGGGACGCTCTCTTTGGCGGCGGCAACGTGCCTGCATTCGTGCTCGGAGCCCTCTTTGCCGTGTCTGCCGCTGTGCTCTCAGCAGCCCGCCTCTCCAAGCTCCCTCGCTCCACCTCCTCGACTGGACTCAGACGAGAGCTGCCCATGCACTGACCTGCGATTATAACACACGGAGGGGGACTGTTGCGTGCCCCCTGCATGTTGTACCTGTCCTCCTATCCAGCACGGCCTTCAAGATTCCTCGCTCCACCGCCTCGACTGGCCTCAGGCGAGAGCTGCCCATGCACTGACCTGCGATTATAACACACGGAGGGGGACTGTTGCGTGCCCCCTGCATGTTGTACCTGTCCTCCTATCCAGCACGGCCTTCAAGATTCCTCGCTCCACCGCCTCGACTGGCCTCAGGCGGGAGCTGCCCATGCACTGACCTGCGATTATAACACACAGAGGGGGACTGTTGCGTGCTCCCTGCATGTTCTACCTACATTCTCCCCAGGCCCCATGAAGTCAGAGAAATTTCTCTGATTTGCCTGTAAAAGTCTGATTTCTCAGACTTTTTTTAAGTGTTGTCTGTTAAATTCAGAGTTTTTTTTAAGCCAAGTCTGCAATTTCAGATATTTTTTTGAGTGTACTCTGATAATTCAGAGTCAAATGCGTACGGACTCTGAAACTGATTCAATGTACCTTGGCACCCACACCCACGATTTGCCCTAGTACGTGTACCTGGGTGGTCAATCACGCGTAACCTGGGACCACACATCAACAGTCAAGTTTTGTGGGCGTGGCCGCCCTGCGACGCGGTTTTTCCTACGTAAACACCAGCGCACACCCTGCTAGAGCACCGATTGGTCCTTATGGCAGCTTCTGTGTGCCATCACGGACCGGCCTTGCACCCACGATGCTGCACTAGCCACCCACGACACAACGCTGACAGCATTGCACTTCTGACGCGCCTCGTCGTTGTCGTGCATGCAAGGCAACCACCCATCCACCTCAACGGGTCCTCCTTGTCTTGTCTATTGCCATCACTTTTCAGCTAGGGTTTCATCCACACCCCCTAGCTGGTGTTGACTGGGCTCAGTGTCAAATGTTGTAGCCTGTAGTGAGGTTTGTCTTAGGGGGTACAGAAGTTAGGGTTTGTTATATGTACCCCAACCAACATCAATGGAACCATTCATTCCTCATTTTGACATGGTATCAGCTAGGTTAGGATCCTGTGGGATCCCGTTCCTCCGTTCTCCGTTCGTACCTCCCGAGCCTGATCCTACCTCTCGTTCGTACCAGTTCCGTTGTTACCGCGCCTAGTACCACGCTTAGCGCCCTTTCTCCCCGTCGCCTCGCGCCCTTTCCCCTCCCCCCCGTCGCGTCGCGCCCTTTCCCCCCGTCGCGTCACGCCCTTTCCCCTCCCCCCCGTCGCGTCACGCCCTTTCCCCTCCCCCCCGTCGCGTCGCGCCCTTTCCCCCCGTCGCGTCACGCCCTTTCCCCCCCGTCGCGTCGCGCCCGTTCCCCCCGTCGCGTCGTGCCCGCCTGTTCCCCCCCCCGTCCCGTCCCCCTGTCCCGTCGCGTCACCCTACCCCGTCGCGTCGCCCTGCCCCGTCCCGTCGCCCTGCCCCGTCGCGCCGCCCTGCCCCGTCGCGTCGCCCTACCCTAGGCCCTGGCCCGTCGCCCTACCCTAGGCCCTGGCCCGTCGCCCTACCCTAGGCCCTGGCCCGTCGCCCTCCCTAAGCCCTGGCCCGTCGCCCTACCCTAAGCCCTGGCCAGTCGCCCTACCCTAGGCCCTGGCCCGTCGCCCTACCCTAGGCTCTGGCCCGTCGCCCTCCCTACGTCCTGGCCCGTCGCCCTAGCCCGCTCTTCCGCTGCACCTGAGTCCTCTTCCCCCCCGGTTCTTACTCGCATGTTCGTTCGCTTTAGTTCTCACTATGGCGACTCCGCGAGTTCTTCGTTTCGACGCTGACGGTAGACCACTTGACTTTTCCGTCTGGCTTCTTCGCGCTCGCCGCCTGTTAGAGAGTCAGGTCCAGGGGGGCGAGACCCTCTGGTCACACGCTACTGGTGACCTCCCCGAGCCCCCCGAGCCTACAGCTTTAGGCCCTGCTCCTGACGACGCTGCTACGGCTCGCTTTGCCCGTCAGCGCGCTGACCGGACGGCTTGGACGTCGCGTGACGCTGCGGCCTGCATCGCACTCAGCAGCCTCCTCCCTGAGTCTGAGGAGGTCCACTTTACTCAGGTTCGCACCGCTGCTGCGTACCTCACTGCGATTAAGGCCCGCTACTCTACTCCCGCTACTGTCTCTCTTGGCCGTCTTTTCCTCCCGTTCCTGTTTCCTGATCTTGCCTCGTTTGAGCGCTCTGCTGACTTGATCGCTCACCTCCGCTCGCTCGACGCTAGTTACCGCGCTGCTTGCACTGAGGCACAGCTTGCACTGCTTCCTCCCCCCATGGCGATCACTGTCTATTTCATCGCCACTAGCCTCCCTGACCGCCTTGCCTCCGTTCGTGACGCGCTTCTGCTGAAGCACCCTAGTGAGCTGACTATCGAGGTCCTTGAGTCTGCACTCAAGGACGTCGAGAGCAACCTTCGCTCGGTAGCTGCCGCCTCTGGTACTGTGTCCCCCCCACTCTTCCACGGGTGCACAGTCCCGCAGTTACCCACCTTCACTGCCTCTCTTGCCACTGCCGCTACTGGCGCGACTGCGGCTGCTGTTACGACTGCGTCGCGGTCCCGCGGCAGGGGGGGCAAGAAAGGTGGTTCTGGTGGAGGTGGAGGCGGAGGTAGCGGAGGTAGTGGGGGTGCTGTTGCGACTGGCGGTGGTGGGAGTGCAGCGTCTGGAGAGACCCCTCGTACAGCGGCTGGTGACTCCACTGCACCTGCTGGTGGCGGCGACCCCCGAGCCCGTCAGTCGCCTCCTGTACTGCCGGCCCCGCTAGGTGGAGCAGCGGCGTGGTACCAGGCTCAGCGTCAGCAGCACCTTCAGCAGCAGCAGCAGCCCCTTTCCTCCCAGCAGCCTCAGCAGCAGCAGCGTCAGCAGCTGGCTCCGGGGTCGGGGCTGCGTCAGCCCCAGCGCGGTGCGGCTTACCCTCCCTGCCCCTACCAGGTTCAGACAGGTCCTCGTCGGGGCCACCCTTGTGGCCGCTTTCACCCCCCTGGTCAGTGCTTTGCTCAGCTCACTGACACGGTCCGGTTGACCTACGGGGTTGGCGGTCCTGCTCCTGACTGGCTTCCTCTGGTTCAGCGCTACGGCTCCGCTCTGTGGGGCATGTCTGCTGAGCAGTTAGTTGATCTGATTAGTGCTCCTCATGCTATGTATGCTGTTGTTGACTCTAGTGTTTCTGACTCTGTTTACTCTGGTGTTGTTAGCTTAGGTGCTAGTCTTGCTCAGTTGCCTGTTGCTAGTGTAGGTACTTGTGTAGACTCTAGACCAGCGACTACCTCAGACGACGCTTCGCTGTCGTTCACACTGGACTCTGGAGCCTCCCACTGCTTCTTCCGGGACAGCACGACACTTACACCACTTCCTGCGCCTGTTTCTGTAGCGTTGGCTGATCCCACTACGGGACCAGTCACTGCACGTCACACTACCACTTTACCGTGTCCTGCTGCTCCCTCCGGGTCTCTCACTGGGTTTCACGTCCCCTCGTTCTCCCGGAACTTGGTGGGCGTGCGACCCCTCGTGAGTCAGCACGTGGGTGTGTGGTTTGAGCCTTCTGGAGAGACTGCGGTGTGTGTTGACGGAGACTCTTACCAGCCTCTTGCTACCTTTACTGCTGAGCCGGGCTCGGGTCTCTACACTCTTCACACTGGCCCGCGTGCGCCGCAGCAGCAGCCGCAGCAGCAGCAGCAGCCGCAGCCGCAGCAGCAGCAGCAGCAGCAGCAGCACCAGCGGCCGCACCAGCAGCCCCCCCTACTGCCACTGCCCCCGGTTCCCCCCCCCGTTCGGGTCCCCGCGTCTCACCAGGTTGCTTCGTCCCCCTAGGTGTCTGTGTCGTGTCAGGTTCCTACGTCTGTTCCAGTCGCTGCGTCGTGCTCCTGCCGGTCGCTTGCCCACCCCACCGTTCTGTGGCACCACCGGATGGGGCACCCGTCCCTTCCTCGTCTGCGCGCTATGTCTAGTCAGCGTCTTGTCCTAGGCCTCCCACGTGTCTTGCCGTCGCTGCCGCCTTCGCTTGCGCCGCCGTGTCGTCCCTGCGTCGAGGGTAGGCTGCGCGCCACCCCTCACTCCTCCTCCCTTCGTCCGGCCACCGAGCCTTTTGAGACGCTTCACTTGGACGTCTGGGGCCCCGCCCCTCGTCTAGGCCCTGAGCGTGAGCGTTACTTTCTGGTGGTCGTTGACGACTTCTCCCGCTACACCACAGTGTTCCCTCTGGCGAAGAAGTCTGAGGTGACTTCTACGCTGATCAGGTGGTTGCTCACCACCGAGGACACTCGTGGTTGTCGTGTCAGCTGTCTCCACTCCGACCGTGGGGGTGAGTTTCGCTCCGGCATTCTCGCTGGATTCTGTCGCGAGCAGGGCATTCGTCAGTCCTGGACGCTTCCAGAGTCCCCACAGCAGAATGGGGTTGCTGAGCGCCGCATAGGCCTGGTCATGGAGATCGCCCGCACCTCCCTGACTCACGCCTGTGCCCCCCATTTTCTGTGGCCCTACGCAGTCAGGTACGCTGCGCACCAGCTGAACCTCTGGCCACGTGTCTCTCGACCAGAGGTTTCACCGACCAGTCTTTGGACAGGGTCCCCTGGTGTTGCGTCGCGGTTTCGTGTCTGGGGGTGCTTGGCTCTTGTCCGTGACACCTCCGCGGACAAGCTCTCGCCTCGTGCCGTCCCCTGTGTCTTCCTTGGTTTCCCTGAGGACTCCTCTGACTTCACCTTTTACCACCCTCCCTCTCACCGGTTCTTTGACTCCCGTGACGTCCGTTTCGAGGAGTCCACTCCGTACTACGTCAGGTACCCCAGTCGAGGTCTCCCGGTTCCTCCTCCCCCCCTCTTCCTGACTGCCGCCCCCCCTCCTGCTCCCCCGGTACAGCCTCCCCCCCCTGGCCCAGCCCCGTCAGGTGTGTCCCAGGCTACCCCTCCTCCTTCGGTAGCCCCTCCGGTACAGCCTCCCTCCCCACAGTCCTCCTCGCAGCGTGCCGCTGGTGCTAGCTCTCGAGAGGTTGGTGCTGCGCCTGTTCCTGTACCGGTTTCTGGTTCTGGGGGTGCTGGTGTTGGTGCTGGAGTTGGAGCTGGAGTTTCTGGTTCTGGAGTTGGAGCTGACCCGGTGGGTGCAGAGGACTCTTGTCGTCCGGGAGCTGGTGCTGGTCGCGCGGACACTGGGGGTGAGAGTGCACCTCCTTCGCGTTCTGGTGAGCCTGGGTCTGGAGCTGGTGTTAGTGCTGCCTCTGGGGGTGGTGCGCCTGGTTCTTCGGGGGTGGACTCTGGAGCTACCACTGCTTCGGACACTACTCCGCCCCCCCACCCCTACCCGACTAGGCACCAGGCTCGTGTTCGCCGTGCCCGTGACGAGCAGCTGGCGTTGGAGAGAGAGGAGAGGGAGTTACAGCGGCTGGAGGAGCAGCAGCAGCAGCTGGAGCCGCAGGAGCAGCAGCAGCAGCAGCAGCAGCTGGACCCGCAGGAGCAGCAGTCCCAGCAGCAGCCGCGTCCGCAGCAGCAGCAGTCGCAGCAGCAGCAGCAGCAGCCACTTCCTCCTCCTGTCTCGGGTCTTCGGGCCCTTGGTCTCCCCTCCCCTTCTCCTCCCTCCTCCGCCTCTCCTCCTGTCTACGGTCCCACGTTTCCTCCGCCTGACTCCTCCCCCGCTGTTTTCTCCAGTTCTCCGCCTTTGTCCTCTCCTCCTCCGTCTCGTTCTTGGGCTACTCGTCGCTCCCCTCGTGCTCGTCCCTCGTCTCCTGTTCCCTTCACTGACCTTCGTACTGCCTTACTTTGTTCTAGTCCACCTCGTCCGTCTCAGTCTGTGCTTCCGTCTCCTCCTGAGTCGGCCCTCACTGTGTCGCTCCCTACTCCTGTCACTGACTACTACCGCACGTACCGTCCTGTTCTCTCTCGTGTTCTCGCCTCTCTTGTTACTCACCCTCGTGCCTCTGTGTCCTCTGTGTCCGCTCTTACTGCCGCAGTTACTGACTTTGCCTCTACCCGCCGCCTTGACTACGCCACCACGCTTGTGGCTGCTCCTCCTACCAGTCCTCTGGCCGTCGGGGGTGTGTCTGCCCTTGGCTGTGACGCCCTAGAGGACAGGCAGTTTGAGCTAGAGTTCCTGGCGGCCGCTTCCCCTCATCTCTGTGCCATGCTCCTCGCCCCTGAGGGTGACCCCGACGCCCTTGACATTCCGACTCCTCGCACTTACGCTGAGGCAGTGTCAGGGCCTTGGGCCTCTCAGTGGAGAGCTGCCATGGACGCAGAGATGGCCTCCTACAGATCCACAGGCACCTACGTCGATGAGGTTCCCCCCCCGTGGGGCGAACGTAGTCGACGGCATGTGGATCTACAGGGTGAAGCGGCCACCGGGATCTCCCCCGGTCTTCAAGGCGCGCTACGTGGCTAGAGGTTTCAGTCAGCGCGAGGGAGTTGACTTCTTTCAGACCTTCGCACCTACCCCGAAGATGACCACTCTTCGGGTGTTACTACACGTAGCAGCACAGAGAGACTACGAGTTACACTCTCTCGACTTCTCCACTGCTTTCCTTCAGGGCAGCCTACACGAGGAGGTCTGGTTACGTCGTCCCTCGGCCTTCACTGGCACTTTCCCTCCTGGGACCCAGTGGAGGCTGAGGCGACCTGTTTACGGTCTTCGCCAGGCCCCTCGTGAGTGGCACGACACTCTGCGTTCTACCCTCTCTGACCTTGGGTTCCAGCCGTCTTCTGCCGACCCGTCGCTGTTCGTTCGTCGTGGCTCCACACCGTTCTTTGTCCTGGTCTACGTCGACGACCTCGTTTTCGCCACTCCGGACAGGGTTGCTTTGGCAGACGTGAAGTCCGAACTGCAGAAGAGACACACGTGCACTGATCTTGGTGAGCTGCGCCACTACCTTGGCCTGCAGATCACCAGGGACAGAGCCGCTCGCACCATTACACTCTCACAGTCACACATGGTGCAGCAGGTCCTTCAGCGGTTCGGGCTTCAGCACTCCACCGTACAGCGCACACCTCTCGCTGTTGACCACAGACTCACTGGTCCCTTTCCTGACGAGCCGTTTGAGCCTAGTGGTCCCTACGCAGAGCTTGTGGGTTGCCTCATGTACCTGATGACTTGTACTCGCCCGGACCTCGCCTTCCCTCTCAGCATCCTTGCGCGCTTTGTTGCGCCAGGGAGACACCGTCCTGTTCACTGGACGGCAGCTGTGAGGGTGGCGAAGTACCTAGCGACTACATCAGGCGTGGGGCTAGTTCTTGGAGGGCAGCAGTCTGTCGTACTCACTGGTCACTGTGACTCCTCTTACGCCGACGACGCTGAGACTCACAGGTCTACTCAGGGGTACTGTTTCAGTCTGGGTTCTGGAGCTGTTTCCTGGCGTTCCACGCGCTCCTCTTCTGTCTCGACCTCTACAGCTGAGGCTGAGATTTACGCTGGTGCCATGGCGGCACAGGAGTTGCGGTGGTTGACCTTCTTGCTCGCCGACCTTGGTGAGCGGCCGAGCTCTGCACCGACCTTGTTTACTGACAACAAGGCGTCGATCCTCCTCTGTCGTGAGCCGCGACTGGAGAGCAGAGTGAAGCACATTCACGTCAGGTACTTTCTTCTGCGAGAGTTGCAGAGACGTGGACAGGCTCGCTTCGAGTTCGTGGAGTCCGAGGCCAACACTGCAGACATCTTCACCAAGGCGCTTCCGCCTTGTGACCACCAGAGGTGTTGTGTGCAGTTAGGCCTTGTTGACTCAGGTTCTAGTCATGTGTAGACTTGAGTTTATTGCCTGCTTCGTCTGTACACTTGCTATATATACTTGTGATCTCTTGGACTGGCCTTGTGGCCACTGTTGCTTGTGCTCAGAGTGTGTGGTGACGTTGTGATCCACCCTGAGCTTTGTTTTCTTTTGGACTGGTCTTGTGACCGTACTCTTTTTGATTTTGCTAGACACCCCTCACTTAGGCTATGGGGGTGTGTCAAATGTTGTAGCCTATAGTGAGGTTTGTCTTAGGGGGTACAGAAGTTAGGGTTTGTTATATGTACCCCAACCAACATCAATGGAACCATTCATTCCTCATTTTGACACTCAGCCAGTCCCTAGTTCTGCCTCGCGAACACATTTCTTGTTCCTGCTCGGCAGGCTCTTTCTGAACCCCGCCATGGCGGTGCTGGACAATCCCGGCTCCAGCGATCCCGACCCTGATTCCCAGCCTGCCTTAACAGGCTTAGACTTTCTTTTCAATACGTTAGAACTCGACAAGGCAGCACGCGCCACGCCCGATACGATCCCCACACAGAAAGAACCGACGGCACCGGTTATCTCACTGTCTGCCGAACCTGTGGCAGAGACACCTGCGGAACCAACTGTGGGTGCGGCCTCGCAGCATTCGCCTCTGACCACGGCGCGCACGATCTGGAAGGGATGTCTGGGGCAAGGCTATTCACCCCCGACGAGTACCCGCTGGATCGAGGAGAGAGGAACCGTAGGTGCATGGAGTGGCTGGAGTCGCTTGTGACCCTTTTGAAGGCCGACCAGACCGAGGAGATCCTCCCCGGTAAGCCCATGTTTGTGTAGTTCTCATGTAACTGTTGTAATTGGCATTGCATATGTTGTGCTTCACTGTATATTCACTAAGCATCGTCTACTGTTACTCTTCCTCCCCCACCAGGAATCAACAAGCGTCGTGCGGAAAAGGAGCTGCGCATGTTCTCCTCGTTGCTTGCAGGAGCCACGAAGGACGAGCGCAGCTTCCACGCCGGGCTCACTGCCATGCTCAAGACACCCGACTGGCGGGACAACTACCCCAACCTCGTGCTTCTGTGGGTGGCAGTAGCCGTACTGCCGCTGAGCACAGTGGAGTGCGAGCGGGGATTCTCCCGCCAGAACATCATCAAGTCGTGGCAGAGAGGCGCGCTGAAAGATGCACGCCTAGGAGACCTCATGTGCATGAGTCTCATGGACTACGAGCCCAAGTGGGATGAAATTGTGACCATCTGGATGAGCTACAAGAAGCGCAAGCCCCAAAGCAACGCTCCACTCCCACCTGCAGGAAGGCAACAGAGCAAGAAGAGTAGGGAGGTTGATGACGAGATGGAAGTGGTAGACTTAGACGCTGAGAAAGATGCAGTTGACAGTGATGATGACGATGGATTTGCTGACTGGATGTAGGTAGGGTAGTTAGTTAGTTAGTTCTATTCTAACTGTGATCTTGTGAAGGCTAAGCAGCAGCATTAGTAGTAGTAGTAGTACTAGTATGAATGTAGGCAAAGCTGTATGAGAAGTGGAGTAGGCTTGCTTCAATATGATTACTAGGGCTACAACAAGCACAATCAGACTTTTACTTGAGTGTACTCTGAAAGTTTCAGACTTTTTTTTAAACACACTCTGACGTTTCAGACTTTTTTTTTTTTCAACTCTGAGGATTTCAGACTAATGTATGACGAATCAGACAGGCCAAAAACGAATCTGAGGGCCTGATTCTCCCCCAAGCTCCCTCGCTCCACCGCCTCGACTGGCCTCAGGCGAGAGCTGCCCATGCACTAACTGCGAGTTGAATGGAATTGCCCATGCGTGACCTGCAATATGTATACCAGGGCCTATTTTATCAGGGTAAATCACCTTGATGCCCTGATTATCAGGGTGGTTTTTGGTAGTAACACTGATGCAGTAGGGTATTTTTTTAGGGACCTTGATTTACCCTGATGTGCCAGGCTTTAAGATTACAGAACACTTTCGCCTTAGGGGTGCCGTTCCTTTTATCGAGTTTTACCCTGAAGGCTGAAGCGAGTACCGGTACCAGCCAACCCCCCGCCTCCCCCCCTCCCCCTCCTTCCACTAACTAACCACCCTACCCCGTAACCTGGGATTCCCGTTTGCCAACTGTCGAAACAGTAAATTTCAGCACGACATGTCAGAATCAACAAGGGTGATTGAACTAGGAAAGAGTTGGGAAACCCTAAACTTATTGTACCCCATAGTAACTACCCCACTACAGCTTAAACAAACTGTAGCAGATACGACATTTGA